CAAAAATATCACGATAATTGCGCCGGGTATTTTTTGACGGTGGGGGAGGGGAATCGAGTTCCGTATTTGTCGGCCGCCAATTTGCAAAGCCACCGGCGGAAGCCTTACGTATTCAACAATGACTCACATTTCCAGGAGTGTAACTCATCCCCTTTCTCACCCACGACAATGCATCGCGCCCATTGTTTTCCCTCCTCGTCCGAAATCGACCGCCCCTCTCTGATATGACGTGCTTCACCCAGTTTTTCTCCTTTTTTTTCTCCTTCGACACGTCATGAGCTCCACCATTTCTACGCGAAATCGCTGTAATGTCCATTTAGACATTTGTTTCGGTTCGTTCGTTCTCGAGAACGACGATAAAAAGGGCCGCATTTTTATTTTAAGCTCAAACGATTATTATGAAAGCGTCGATTTCTACTCGTAATAAAATTTTCATCCCCCAAAAACGGACGTAATTATAAAAATCGTTGAAGGTAAAGTGACAGATTGATAATCGCAATTATTAATATGTTAAACTATACTAATAAGAATAGAATAAATTACAGTTTCAGAGAATTTATCGATATTATTTTCTTTAATTCTCATAGTTAATCATAAATTAATCACAATAATAAATTAATCATAAATAATAAATTATTAAATAATACTCAATTAATTATATCAAACGAATAATATTTAATAATAAATATTACTTAATAATACTTAATAATAAAAATAATACTCAATAATAAATTATACCAAACGAATAATAAATTATACTAAATATTACTTAATAATAAATTATACTAAATAATAATTAATTAATAATAAATAATACTAAATAATACTTAATTTATCGATATTATTTCTTTAATTCTCATAGTTAATCATAAATAATAAATTACTAAATAATACTTAATAATAATTAATATTAAAGAATACTTAATAATAAAAATAATACTCAATAATAAATTATACCAAACGAATAATACATAATAATAAAAATAATACTCAATAATAAATTATACCAAACGAATAATAAATTATACTAAATATTACTTAATAATAAATTATATTAAATAATAATTAATTAATAATAAATTATACTAAATAATACTTAATAATAAAAATTATACCAAATAATACTCGATAATAAATAATACCAAACGAATGATTATTAATATGAAATACGCAATGCGATCCAGAAAGAATGCGTCCGAGAAAATGATGATGAAGCTCCGAGTTGATCATTCGAACGACGATAAGATTACGATTTTATTAAACAAATGTGAAGTGAGATAAACATAGTCGCCAGGATGGAATATACTATTAACGTTCTAATGATCCCTTTGGTGCCGTGCCAATTAGAATTTCGATCGATAACGATGCTTCTTTGATTAACGGTTTAGCTATTCGGTTGAAGAAAAATAACTCTGGAACACAATATCTGACCTTAATGAGCCGTTTATATCTCATACATCTTGCAACGTAATGTTCCTTATTATATATTGGATTTTTCTACAAGATGAGGGTTTTTTTCGTTCAAAATGTATCAAAATTGCAAAACTGACGAATGAGAGGACGACTATAATTCTGGTTTATTTTTCTTCTCGGAAAAATAATATATTATAAAATATATTATTATAATATATTATTAAAATATATTATATAAATAATATATTTCATTTAAGGATGTTTTGTATGTACAATCCCGGCAAAAAGTAGCTGAAAATCAATATTGACGAATATATCCACTTTTGGTGCAGAGATGTATTTTTTAATATTTATTGCGTGTTTACTGAAATATTCCGAATTTTGTTAATCGAAATGATTAACTTTTGGCAGAGAATTTTGCCTTGTGACAGATACATGGCTAACTTGATTGAATTATATTTAATATTTTTTTAACCAGTTAGTACTTGTATAATATTATTTGATTCAATATTTCCTCTGTATCTAAACTTTTGCAATTTTTAAACAAATTCTGAATATTATTTCCATGTGTTTTTGTCATTTGAATCGACGTGGTTATATGTTTCCCATAAGAACACATGTTAATTCGCAAATTAAAATCCTTATAACTTGTGAACGCTTTAGTGAATTGATTTAAAAATTGTACTGAAGATTCTAAACATATGTAAGGATACTCTGCACAATTTTCATTAAATTCTCAATATTTAAAATAGGTATAAAACATCTTTAATATAATATATTTATAATATATTTTATATAATATTATTTTATATAATTTATATAACTATATAAAATATTATATATATTAATATGATTGTTTATATAGCTTATATAATTATATAAAATGTTATATATATTAATATAATTTTTTATATAACTTATATAATTATATACTGAAGATTCTAAACATATGTAAGGACATTCTGTACAATTTTCATTGAATTCTCAATATTTTGAAAATAGGTACAAAACATCCTGAAAATACTTTATTAGATTAGCCAGTAATTAATACATTAATTATGAAATAAGAGCTTCTGAATGTATGTGCTTATGATAATTTAATTTGTATTATAAGATATGATGTGCAACATGCGATACTAAATTAAAACGTTATTATCATGAAGGATAATAATAATTAAAATAGAGGAGTCTTCTTTCATGATTGTGCGCAGAACAACGGTCAAGTGTATCTGTCTATGGCCTTGACTCGAGCTCGAGCCGTTTCCGGAAGAGGTTAATACCCGAAACGCATCGTTGCTTCTTAGGGTTGGAGCGAATCGTGTCTACGATTTAAGCGTTTTCAACGCTTCGTGCAAGAATCAGCCGTACGATCGATGTTACCATCTCTATTTTCTAGCTCCCGTAAATTTGAAGGTCAAAAAAACTCGGGCGGATAATGTTATTAAATTTATCGATCGATCATTAAAACGCACCTGAGTTTTTAATTTAAGCGGCCAACGAGAAAGAAATATAACGACAACTGTTTTCATTAGCCTAATAGTCTCAATTGTGTGTAAGAGAATAAATTTTTTTTTTATTTTTTTTATTTTTTTATTTTTTTTTAACAAGAAAATATTAATTAAAAAACATACAAAATTACACGAAATTAATTTAGAATTTTTTTGTCACGCTGGGATGAATTCTCGAGCTCTGAAGAAATAAATGAGACTTGTACGATCTCTATTAAATAAGGATACAATTTTTCTGTTTTTTTTTTCTATGCGCGAGCTATTACGATTTATTACTACTTCCTCGTGCTTTTTATTCCGTATTTTATTCCACATGGCATCGCGCCGAATCACGGCATGTTTGTCGGTCAATTAAGAAGTCCATGGCGCGATCTCACCGGTCCGGTAACGCAGAGGAGGCGAACGTATGTCGGTGAATGTCCGCGAGGGTCATCGACCCAGGCCGACCACCAACCGGAGAAGAGGAGGTCTCGGTTGTCTCTTCCTCGACTTTAATATCGAGTCTTTGCGCTGCTTCCAGGCGGCACTGCCTGCCTTCGACCTTGATCCTCGCTGTTGAAAACCTTCGGCCACGACCGATTATCCCCGTAACTCGATGTCGTCATCGAGCCATGAAGGCCCGAAAGGCCGTTTCACTACACAATTTGCGCGTTATAAGATCCCTTCCTGATATACACGGCGTCCCGCACACTAGAGTTGCACGAGATACCAAGATTAGTATTGATATTGTCTTGTCTTGAATTTCAAGACAAGATCAAGACACAAGATTTTTAATTAATTATCAAGACAATACCAAGACTAAGCCTGTCAAGATTATTGGTTCTTAAAAAAACTAAAATATTCATATTTGTAAATGAAAGAAATCATTACATACGAATTTAAAAAAATTTTATTTAATAAAAAGATTTATATTGATAAATTTAAAAACATTTAATATTAATACGATATAACATTTTTATAAATTAGAAATCAAATTCGCAAATTTTAGACATTAAAGAGCATTTTACTCAGGAATTGATGCACATTAGTGCTTTTAAAAAGTTACTTTGTAATCTGGTTCTATTGTTTGACATAGTCAGAGTTCCTGTTGAGAAAAGTCTTTTTACTGGCATGGACGAGGCAGTTGAACTTAAAATGTCTCGAGCCATTTTTGACAATGTGGGATAAATATGAACTTGATTTTTTTACCACTCTAAAATATTTATATCTGCACATTCCCTTAGAGCCTGTAAATAGTTATTAATTTCTGTTTTCCATGAAACAGTCCATGAAATGTCTTTTTATGTAAATAAACGGCATTTATATCGATTACTTAGTAATCATTATAATTAAAATATAATACAATAGTAATAATTATTTCAAATTATATTACAAAACTTATGTTAAATATTATTTAAATAATTTTTTAATATTAGAGAAAAAGTTGTTAATAAAATCGAGACAAGACAATACAAGACGAGATTTTTGTTACCTAACCAATATTCACTCCAAGACCAAGACAAGATTTAAATTTTTGAAAATTTTCAATACAATGTTATACAATGTTATACAATATCAATACAATGTTTTTATGAATATTGTCTTGTCTTGGGTCTTGTGCAACCCTTTCGCACACGATATTTCGTCAGATACGTCGCACCAGCTGTCGTGAAAATTGTGAAATAAAATGAAAATAATATTTTCGAAAGCAATAATATCATACATTATCAAAGATTGTCGGAAGAAATCTTTTTCCTACTTTTTCTAATTTCAAATAATTAATACGCTGGAAATTGATTTATATTTCTCGTTCGACAGCAGAAATAGAATTATAATTGTATATGCATTTTGAGCAGGAATCATTTCCAAGGTGTCTCTAAAGTAACTTAAAAATAGCAGTGTTTGAAAATATTGCAAAAATAATCAAGCTACTACTTCCACTTTCTTAAATATCAATATTTATATTTAATTATTTAATATTGTCTAATAATTATTATTTCATATTGTCTTTTTTATTAGAAGAGAGAATCTGAGGAATATTATTAACATGATCGATAAAGAAATATTTCCACGTGTCCTCATACATTTTTCTTCTTTCAGCAACTGTTTCGCAGTCAACCACAAGGCGCGACACCGCAGCAGCTGCAACTACTTCAGCAACAGCAACAGCAGCAGCAGCAGTACCTGGCCGCATCCCAGGCACAGCAGCAGCAACAACAGCAGCAGCAGCAGCAGCAGAATTTCCCCACGGCCCCCTATACCGTTATCAGCGGTCAGGAACCTTACGTAGGAGCTTTGATAGCCGGCGCACCGCCGCCAGTCGTCCCTCAGTACTATGGAGTCGGACCCTGGGTCTATCCAGCTGGACTGCTCCCGCAGGCGCCACCCCAAGCTGCCGCACCACCGCCACCCCGACGACCGCTCACTCCCTCTTCGGCAGCAGCCGCAGCCGCTGCCGCGCAGGACACCGCGAATAATTTGGCACAAACGGTGAGCTAATTATACGTGCCGCCAAAAGTAATTATAAATGTGTAGACAAGATGGAAAAAAGATTTTTAATATTCATAAGTTATATTTTTGTAAAACTGCAAACATACGAAAAAGATAGAAGCTCCGACCTCCACTCCGGCCATCGCCATCGCATTAGGAAGAAATTGCACTGTAAATTTTAAAATCTAATCTTTTCAGAGAACATCGATGTAACTTACAAATAATCTAGAATGTTCATAGGTATATATTTTTATTATACACTAAGAAAAATATCTGGTTGCATTAATTACAAAAATATCTGGTTGCATCTAATTACTGATCAGATTATTGAATAAATTATTTTAAATTCAGTTTGTTAGAAATTAAATTGATAAACAGTGCACTGAGAAAAAAATCTGGTTGCATTAATTAGAATTTTGGTAGATTCAACCAGTATGTCTGTTGAAAAATGGACGAACCAGAATTCTTGTAGGAATTACCAGATGAATCTGATTAATTTCTTCCTGTTAAATTTACCAAATTTTCTGATTAATAATACTAAACTCATCAGCACCAAGTCGTCTAAAATTTTTTCCATCTAATCTCAAAAGTCTGTTTAATATTTTTAATTCCAACAAGATTATTGGATAAATTCAATCCAGATTATTGAATAAATTATTTTAAATTCAGTTTGTTAGAAATTAAATTGATAAACAGTGCACTGAGAAAAAATCTGATTGCATTAATTAGAATTTTGCTAGATTCAACCAGTATGTCTGTTGAAAAATGGACGAACCAGAATTCTTGTAGGAATTACCAGATGAATCTGATTAATTTCTTCCTGTTAAATTTAACAAATTATCTGGTTAATAATACTAAACTCATCAGCACCAAGTCGTCTAAAATTTTTTCCATCTAATCTCAAAAGTCTGTCTAATATTCTGATTTCCAACAAGATTATTGGATAAATTCAATTCAGATTATTGAATAAATTATTTTAAATTCAGTTTGTTAGAAATTAAACTGATAAACGGTGATGCAAGAAGAGGATGCAGCTCAAACACACACAATCAGAGAGCTAGCGTCCTCTTTCTGGCACTATTATTCGTAAGAGAAAAAAAAATATACTTTGGATTTAATGTTAATACTAGTTCTTTATATACATTTTATGGCAAATATTGAATAGGAGTTAAGTTAAGAGTGAGCAGAAATTAATGTAACAAGAAATTTTATAGATTTAACCAGAAAATACTAATCAAATTCTTATAATAAAATCTATTAAACGTTCTAGTTATAAAAAATCGAGTCTTATTATGATAATTAGAAATTCTTGTTTGATTTAACCAAAATGCCTTCAATCATATACGTCTTGTTGATACAATCAAATGATTTTTCTCAGTGTAGTGTTTCTGAAAATTTTACAATTTTTTTTTTCAAAAGTATTATAATGAACTTCTGGAATGGCATACTCGCGCTCGGTGCACGTGTTTCGAAATAATTTGAGCCGCACGAGAGTATCGCGATGATGCGTGAACCGTGACCATTAAATAAAGGCTAAAATTAAACGGGGTGAGACAGAGAGCTCGCGAATTAGCGCGTACCGCGAATTAGATGTGTTTCTAATCCTGTAATAGCTATTTTCTCTCTTGTGTTGCCGCCTCTGTGTGTCGCGAATAACCGGTGATACCTGTTTTCTCTAAGCCTGACATATGATGGAGAAGCGCTTGTTGTGCCAATTAGAAGCTGTCACATTGTCCTCCTCAAATCTAGCCAAATATCTCGCTACAGTGACAAGCAGAGGAGTGTGTGTACGTGATATGTGCGGAATGTGTTCTCGACTTATAAAATTAAACGTTCAATTTGGCGAGTTACTGTCTATTGTATTGTATATATATGTGCGCTGCAATTTACAAACAAAAGTAATATAAACAGAAATCTCGGTGATTTAAACAGAAAATTATGCAAACCTTTACATCTCCACAAGGTTTTCACATTTTCCTGAAAAATCACAAAATCAGTTCTTTATGTTTGAAGATGAAAAATTTCGATACAACAGTACAATTCCTTCTTATAAACATTACATAAGTTGCTTTAATCCAAATTGTTTGTTTTCTTTTAATGTACCAGTTTCAGGTTGAAGATTAATTATTCCAAGATTATATCATCAATATCCTTAATAATGTCTCTGCTGTATAATTAACTAACATAATGTAATAAATTATTTTATAGGTTCAAGGTCAATATCAGGTGATACCAGCTTATTACGATCAGAATGGTTCCATCGTCATGGGAGGCGTTCGCGGTCTGAGCTCAGCAGCGACTCCCATGAGATTAGTTAGCCCCGCGCCAGTTCTCGTGAATAGAGCCCCGTCTCAGCCTCCACCGGGTCCACCAGCACCGCCCCCGCCGAACCTATATTCCCAGCCGACTCCGACATCTCACAGCAACGCTACGCCTGGCGAATGTCTAGGTAAGTCTAACGGGACCTCTCCTAGATTCCTGCACTATTGTTTTCCTTGTAAACATACTTGTAAGAAGTCTTGTAAAATCATGTGTGTAACATTTTGTAAAGATCTTTTTCTCTCTTTGCCCTTCCCTTGTCGTTATAGTACGTGTGTAACGCATGACCATGTGCTACGAAAACGTTGTCCGATTATGATAATAAGCGTGCCAACGTTTGATCGTTTTTCTTCTTTACGGTTAACTCGCCTGTTTCCTGTAAATACACATTCCACGACATATTGTAACATTGTGACTAAAAGGAGAGAAAAGAAAAATTGATGAAACGGCTCGCAGATGGGTGTGAAGGATAGTGATACCTGATGAATTCACCGGACAAAAGATTGCCTTGCGTAATAATAGAAATATTTTATTATAATGTATAAATATATATAAATATGTATATTAGTATATATATATAATATATATAGAGTGGCCCCGAACGTTCCAGCCAGACTTTGAGATCTTAGGAAATTTAATTCTGAACAAAAAATTTCCTGTAAACATGGGTCGAAAAATGCTTTCTTAAGAACTTATCGCTCAAAAACCTCTGATGAAGGAAGAGCAAAAGGTGAAAAGAAAATAAAACTAAATAAATTTCTTGAAAAGCGTCTTTATTCATTTTCTACTATTACGTGCTATTACTAAAATATTAGTTAAAAAAATTATTTTATTTTCATAAAAGAAAAAGATTTTTATTTTTTATCGTTTTTTTCAAGAAATTTATTTAGTTTCATTTTCTTTTTATTTCATTTTCTTTTCACCTTTTGCTCTTCCTTCAAAGGTTTTTAAGCGATAACTTTTTAAGGAAGCATTTTTCGACCCATATTTATAGGAAATTTTTTGTTCAGAATTAAATTTCCTATAAGATCTCAAAGTCTAGCTGAAACGTTCGGGGCTACCCTGTATATGTATAAAATATATACATATATATAATATAAGGAGAATCTTAAAAAACTCCCACTAAGCAAATAGCGTTATTCTTGATTAAAAACCGAGTCGAAAAGTCCTGAATGATTTTTTTCCATAATGCCTAATGAAGCAGTAATTAATGAGTAAAGTCGCGCCAATAAAAAGACAAACTAGCTCGTTATCAACATATAAAGATTTGGATAAGCAAAAAAAGAAACTGTTTTGTGTTAATTTTTAAATAATTCATCTTTTCAGAAATCTTTTTAATATTTAAATCTGATTAATTATTTAATGAATCTTGGAAAAAAATGGTTCAGGACTTTTCGACTCGGTTTTTAATCAGGAATAACGCTATTTGCTTAGTAGGAGCTTTTTAAGATACACCTTGTATATTTAATATATATATATATATATATATATATATATATATATATATATAGATCGTTGCATATACGAAATATTGGGTTTCAAAAATTTAGAGTTTGTAAAATCAGAAAATTTTAGAAATTAAATGTTTGATTGATCATATCACAGTTCCTGTATATTTTGAAACTTTTTACTCGAAATGTGATAAATGAATAATATATAGAAACTAGAGAATTCGTATCATATCGTGTTTGAAAATTTAAATCAGATATAAAAATGATAAATTTTAATTTTTAGAGAAAAGAAATAATAATTAATATGAGAGAAAAATGACTATTGTCGTGTAACTTTTTACTCTTTCCTCTGCCTTTCTGTACGTGTACGATCGGAAAAGATAATAGATATTAAATCATAGGTTCTTATCATGAAAGAAAAAGAGTGAATGACTAATTTCTTTCGATTACACAATCTTTTTCGTGGAAGTATAAACCGCGATATGATCATGATCCTGATACGAAAGTCGAGTCGTTTGACACGCAACGACCGTCCAAAATGTCATTTTTCCGGACCAGAGGGTAGTCTGTCCTATCTACACCCCCGATCGCGGACACGCGATTGTAGAGCTGCGTCATGTGTATTGCCGCTAGGCTTCTCACTGTAGACGGTATGAGGTTCGTAACATACGCTAATCACACTTACGACGACTAAGACAGCGCGTGTGGGTTTCGCGGGCTTTTGGTGCAGGTCTGGCAGCGTGCAGCGCAGCGGCAGTGGTCGCGCAAGCCCAGGCAGTCGCGGTGCAACAGGCGCAGCAGCAAGGCACGGGACTTGCCGCGGGTTTAGCGGCTCTAGGATACGGCAATTCCCCGCTCGGGGCACTGGGCTCACCTGCCCAGCTACAGAATACAGGTATATCATCGTCACGTTTCTCCTAAATCATCGTCCTCGAGCATCGTCCTCGTATGTGCTCCCGAAGAATTGTCTCCATCTTCTAAAAAACATGATGACCTTCCTCGAGTTCTCACACGAGTTTCAATCCACAAGTCTGTATATTTTTGAAAAAATAAAAATCGCATGTAACGAAGCTTCCTGTAAATTTGTAACACGTAATTTTCATTTTTTTTTCTTTTTCAACTTGATGTGGATTGGAAATCAACTTTTTCAACTTGAGAAAATCTTGTAAATATATCAGTATAAACAATGATAGCTTTCAAAGGCACGAGCCATTTTTCAAGAAATACGAAGTAAGTATGCGTTTGTACGAAAAACAAGTATGCACATTAAATGGTCAAATTAAAGAAAAGAAAGAAGAATTTGGATCACCGCATATACAGGGTGTCCCATTTTAACATTCACACTCGAATATCTCGAAACCATGGCGGTTTCGGTGAAAATGTTTTAAAACAAAAGTTGTATGACTTTAAGGGGGCCATAAGATGGTATTATTGGTTTTATCTTGAAAAGTCGTTTGAAGATCGTGTGAAGATCAGCTTCAATTTTTTAAATGGAACCCCTCATTTTTTATTGCATATTCTTATAGCTTATTTCAAGAGCTTTCCAAAACACTATAATAAAGTATTTCTTCATTCAGTACTTTTCGAGTTATGAAGCTTGAAATAATTTCTTAATTTTACATAAACTATAAAATATGTAGTTAAATATTCATTTTTCGATTATCTTACCTTAATACTTTTATGTACAAAATAATGAGAGGAATCAATTGAGTAAAGAAAACACAATTGTTTCGAAGAAAAAATATGTAGTTTGCAATTAACAATTCCATATTTTTTCTTAAAAAACAACTGTATGTTTTCTTTACAGCAATTGATTCCTCTCATTATTTTGTACATAAGGTATTCAGGTAAGATAATCGAAAAGTGAATATTTTACTAGATATTTTATAGTTTATGTAAAATTAAGAAATTATTTCAAGCCTCATAACTCGAAAAGTATTTAAGAAAGAAATACTTTATTATAGTGTTTTGGAAAGCTTTCGAGATAAGCTACAAGAATAAGTAATAAAAAATAGAGGTCCATTTAAAAATAGGGTTCTATTTAAAAAATTCAAGGTGATTTTCACTTTCAAACTACTTCTTTTCAAGGTAAAATCAATGACATCATCTAATGGTCCTCTTAAAACTATACAACTTTTGTTTAAAACATTTTCATCGAAACCGCAATAGTTTCGAGATATTCGAGTGTAAAAATTAAAATGGGACACCTGTATATTGTAATTATTTATCGATAGCTGCAGAGTATATGTGGTAGAATATAACTTTGTGTAAAGATTTATACGAGAAAAAAGATAGAGAGATTCATACATTTTATTTATATATAAAAGAGAAACATCTTGAAATATATTTAAAGTTTTTTTTTTTTTTTTTTTTTTTTTTCAACTCAAGAATGCTTTTTCCCGAGACCATTCCTCTCTATATTGGTGGTGTGTGTACGGATATTTTCATGTACAAAAATAAAACAATCCAAGGTGTTTTTGCATGCTTCATATAACCTTGACTCGTATTTTCGTGTAAAAACATAATCAAGCCTCTCTCAGTCACGCGCCCTTCCCAGTAGAGCGTTTGTGCCGATTTGTTGATTATCGTAATTCGTTCGATTATTATTACGTCTTTCAACAAGCTCGATATCGGTCGACCTTCGAGCAGCCCGTGTTAAGATGACGGTGTCCGTCTTGTGTGCAGGTTTAGGCCTCGGTGCGTCTTCGACCGGCAGACGAGATTCCTTTGATAGAAATACTTCAGCCTTCAGTCCAAGCTTGGAATATAGCCGGGCGAAGTGGCCTCAGAGTTACGGCGCCCTCGGTAAGGATCCCTCTATTGTGTGTGGAATGTATTCTGACACGCAGGATGTGTGTGGGACATCTCAAGTGATGATAAGTTCGCGAAATATTCTCGTTGTACAAAAACATGAAGAACTAACGATAACGAGAAATGAGAAAGAGAATTATCCTCGCTTCATTGTACTTCTCTCGTTAAAATAAAAGACTTTACCGTTTTCCTTCATAATGTACAGCAACGAAAATTTTCGAGGATTGTGCCCTTTAGATGCCGATGCACAGCTGTGAGACATTTCAGAATCGCCATAGACGCTCGATTTTACTTATGTTGTATATTGTGTCTATAATATATCATAATTTTCATTTGTACACGTGCTTTTGTATACATAACTCGGCTATGGTAACAACACTACCCTACTCTCTAAAATTGATTCCGACGTTATGAATTATATTATGTTCTGATGCTCTTGATTGGAAGTGAATAGGCAAGCAAGAACGTCTGATTTAGAGCAATCAGTCCATGTCATTGTAATTCATATAACATTTTAACATAACACGCTGTGCGACTAGATTTAGCCTTTATACATTGTACATTGCTTCTATTAAAAAAAAATAATAATAAAATATGTACAGAGCATCATTCGACATATCAGCGAAGTGAGAAGTATTTTTTAAATTTTGTAGATACAAATATACTTAAGTATAATCTAAATATTTTCGTAATTTACGATATTATGATATTTATATAGTTTCAAGATATTTATAATATTAAACAAACGTTTAAATTCGCGAAATATTCTTATATAGGTGCTTAGTGTAATTCGTTTTTTCTAATATATATATATATATATATACTCTTGATTTGTTATATACAGGTACAGTCACCGCGTCACCGAGTCCTTTAGGGTTGTCATTGACACCGCCACCGACTTTAGGCGGATCCCTAGGTGGTCTTGTTGGGGGAGCCAGTCGAGTATCAGCGGCTCCCGGTGCCGAAGCCAAGTTCCGCGCTAGCGCGGTCCCCGCTTTGACAGCCAACGGAGTGTTTGGTTCTAGTAGCTCTCTGTTCCCTAATCTCGTGGGCAAACCCGGTCGTGGAGGTGCCGCTAATATCAGCGACAAGAATGCCGGTGGACGATCTCGACTACTGGAAGATTTTCGAAATAATCGGTTAGTTTTTGTGGTATCTTTTAGGGCCTTTAATCGTATTAAATTATAATATCAACGGTATATAATCATCATAATTTTTTTATATTGTCGAAATACAGTTTATCGAGTGTCATAATTTATGATTAATAGAATAGATTGATAAAATTGTAAGAGACCTTTTTTCCTTAAATAGTTTATTACATTCTCTCTTCTTGACTGATAGATCTTGACACTTGATTAGAATATATGTAGCCAAATTTATATAGAAAAAAGTCAGTCCCTGATATATCTAACTCTATCTAATATTATCGCGTGTGAAAAATAATTCAATATACAGGGTGTTCCCGGGTTAAATGGCCAAACTTAAAATATAAATTTGGGACTTTAAAACAAGCAAAAATTTCCTCTGGAAGTTTGCTCGCAAACGCTTCATTCAAGAGATATCGACTTGTTAAGTTACAGGACCACAAGAATGAATAATGCCGAAATATTTCTGATTTGTCTTTGTTTTGACTAAATATAATCATCATAATTTTTTTATACTTTACGTCGAAATACAGTTTATTGAGTGTCATAGTTTATGATTAATAGAATAGATTGATAAAATTGTAAGAGACCTTTTTTCCTTAAATAGTTTATTACATTCTCCCTTCTTGACTGATAGATCTTGACACTTGATTAGAATATTTGTATGTAGCTAAATTTATATAGAAAAATGAAAAGTCCCCGATATATCTAAAATTCTATCTAATATTATCGCGTGTGAAAAATAATTCAATATATATTATACTGTAAGAAATAAATAAATTACGTAATTTTTTAAATGTCATTATTAAGTAATATTATCATGTGTGTAACTAAATATAATCATCATAATTTTTTTATACTTTACATGGAATACAGTTTATCGAGTGTCATAGTTTATGATTAATAGTATAGATTGATAAAATTGTAAGAGACCTTTTTTCCTTAAATAGTTTATTACATTCTCCCTTCTTGACTGATAGATCTTGACACTTGATTAGAATATATGTATGTAGCTAAATTTATATAGAAAAAAGGCCCTGATATATCTAATTCTATCTAACATTATCGCGTGTGAAAAATAATTCAATATATATTATACTGTAAAAAATAAATAAATTACGTAATTTTTTTAATGTCATTATTAAGTAATATTACCATGTGTGGTATCAGCTGAATAATGTATTATTAAATTAAATATACTTGATTTCTTTCAGGTTTCCGAGTCTTCAGTTACGTGATTTAGCTAATCATATAGTTGAATTCAGTCAAGATCAGCATGGTTCGCGATTTATTCAGCAGAAATTGGAGCGAGCTTCAGCTAATGAGAAACAACTCGTGTTTCAAGAAATCCTCTCTTCTGCATATTCCCTCATGACGGACGTCTTTGGAAATTATGTCATTCAGAAATTCTTTGAATATGGTACACCAGAACAGAAGTCAACTCTCGCTCAAAAGGTAAATTTCACATTTTTTGGGCAGAAAAAAATCATTTTAAGAAAACTAATTCAATAATTTCTTCTATAAAATATGTCAAAGTAATTCTTAATGCATTTAAAGATAACTTTTGATAGGACCAATAAATACTATTACTATTATTACTGATATACTTATTTTCACATATTTCACAAAATATGTAATTTTCTTTATTATTATCGTATATGATTAAAAAATTTGCGTGTCATCTGAATCAATGTGATTGCGCACGAAATAATCTGATAATTTTTATGAAATGATTATATAAAGAAAATCTTGATGAAAACCCTTTGTTTTATTTTTTTCATTTATTCCAGGTTCGCGGACACGTCTTACCTTTAGCGCTGCAAATGTACGGCTGCAGAGTCATACAAAAGGCCCTCGAGTCGATCGCACCGGAACAACAGCAAGAGATCGTGCGAGAACTTGATGGGCATGTGTTGAAATGCGTGAAGGATCAAAATGGGAATCACGTTGTTCAGAAGTGCATTGAATGCGTCGAGCCGCGAGCATTGCAGTTCGTAATAGGTGCTTTCGCCGGACAAGTGTATTCCTTGAGCACTCATCCTTATGGCTGCCGAGTAATCCAACGCATTCTTGAACATTGCACTGCCGAACAAACGCAAGGGATTTTGCAGGAATTACATGCCGCGACGGACCAACTCATTCAAGATCAGTATGGCAATTATGTCATACAACATGTGCTTGGTGAATATCATTCTTTTCTCTTTTCGCTGCGATAATTGCTGTAAAACAAAGATTGATGTTTTCAGATGAAATTAATTAAGAGTTGATAATCTTATTGCAAGTTGAAAGTGGCAATAATAACATTATACATTATACATGACGAATATTTATTTTTGTTTCTTACAGAGCACGGAAAACCAGAAGACAAAGCACAATTAATCGGCAGTGTCAGAGGCAAGGTACTCGCTCTATCCCAGCATAAATTCGCGAGTAACGTAGTCGAGAAATGCGTGACTCATGCTACAAGGCAGGAACGCGCTGTACTGATTGAAGAAGTTTGCGGTTTTAATGACAAGTGAGTGCGCAATCTTTATATGGCACGAAATTTATACACGGTCGAATATCTCGATAAGGAAGAGTTTTACTAGAAAGGGTTTCAGACAAAAGTTGTATGGCTTCGAGGGGGACATAACATGGTATCATTGGTTTGACCTCGAAGAGTTATTTGAAGATCATATGAAGGTCACCTTCAATTTCTTAAATGGGACACTTAATATGCTTTTGCATATTCTTGTAGCTCATCTTGAGAGCTTTCCAAAACATTTATAATTAAGTTAGTTTTTATCAAGTACTTTCCGAATCATGAGGCTTGAAATCATTTCTTAATTTTACATCAACCGTAAAATATTATGTAAAATATTCATTTTTCGATTATCTTTAATATTTTTATGTACAAAATAATGAGAGGAATCAATTGGTGTAAAGAAAACACATAATTGTTTCGAAAGAGAAAATGTAATTTGCAATTAACAATTACATTTTTTCTTTCGAAACAACTATGTGTTTTCTTTTCATTAATTGATTCCTCTCATTATTTTGTACATAAAAGTATTGAGGTAAGATAATCGAAAAATGAATATTTTACAAGATATTTTACGGTTTATGTAAAATTAAGAAATGATTTCAAGTCTCATAACTCGGAAAGTTCTCAATAAAAAAAATACTTTATTACAGTGTTTTGGAAAGCTCTCGAGATGAACTACAAGAATATATAATAAGAAAGAGTAGGTTCCATTTAAAAAATTGAAGATGACCTTCACGTGATCTTCAAGTAACTATTCAAAATGAAATTAATGACACCATTTGATGGCCCCTTTAAGCCATGCAACTTTTGTTTGAAACACTTTCTAGTAAAACTTTCTTATAATGAAAGGAATCAAATTAGTGTAAAGAAAACACATAATTGTTTCGAAAGAAAAAATGTAATTTGCAATTAACAATTATATTTTTTCTTTCGAAACAATTATGTGTTTTCTTTACATTAATTGATTCCTCTCATTATTTTGTACATAAAAGTATTAAGGTAAGAAAATCGAATATTTTACAAGATATTTTAATGTAAAATTAAGAAATGACTTTAAGCGTTACAACTCGGAAAGTACTTAATGAAAACTAACTTAATTATAGTGTTTTGGAATACTCTCGAGATGAGCTGTAAGAATATGCAATAAAAAGTAGGTGGTTCTATTTAAAAAATTGAAGATGACCTTCACGTAATCTTCAAGTAATTATTCAAGATCAAATTAACGACACCATCTGATGGTCCCCTTCGAGCCATGCAACTTTTGTTCGAAACATTTTCTAATAAAACTCTTCCTTATCGAGATATTTGACCGTGTCCAGACTTTTTTCAAACACCGTGTATTTTATAAAAGTATTATCCGAGTCTACGGAGAGTATAATATTCATCTTTTTTTCATCACAGTGCATTGAACGTAATGATGAAGGATCAGTATGCCAATTACGTGGTGCAAAAAATGATTGACGTGGCGGAACCGGCGCAACGCAAGATACTGATGCACAAGATCCGACCGCATCTGGGGAGTCTACGCAAGTACACTTATGGTAAACACATTATTGTGAAACTGGAGAAATTCTTCATGAAAACCGCCTCGGCGATGGGAGTGGGAGCGACGCCGACTGGTACGTCAACGAGCAGCGGAGGCGGCGACCTCGGCCCGATCGGACCGCCTGCGTCCGCCGCATCCGGTCCGGTGTCAACGTCGAGCCAGCAGCCAGCGCAGGTAACAGGTTTATAAACGTGCACGCGCGCAAGATCACTTCTGTCGCCGAGAAGAAGAAGAAAATCGACATAAAAAGAGGCAAGCAAAACAAAACAAAACTTCCGCATGTCGCAGATGTGCGTTTACTACTGTCTTACTTTTACTTTAGTGAGATTTGTTCTATCTATTAGATGAGAATGACAAGTTTTTCAGCGATCGCTCGTTTTGTTTTCTTCTCGTTTTGCCCCGTGTCCTTGAAGACGAAGGAAGAAAGGAGGCGAAAGCCTCGAGGATGATTTCTCTTGAAAAAATTGCTAATACACGATTTTTTTTTATTTTTGCAATCGCAGAATCGATGGTGTACAGTAATTTTAGCTCTCCTCGGGACCTGGGCAAGGCGAGATTTAGACGGTACGAGTCCATTTTAATGAAAACGAAAGGCAGTTTGTAGAAACGAAGATAGATACGTTGTAGCGCATTTTTCTATCGTTTTGCAAAACGTATCCCTGAGCGAGCGAGTATCACATGCGTAGAAAAATATTCGCGTTAACATCCTGAGTGAAAGCCGCACTATATAATTTTCGATTTGCGAGTAATGTATTATGGCTCATGGACCGCGGCCAGCACACGTTGAGCTATAAACCGAGCTGAGTTGAGCTAAGCTAAGCAATTGTTTTGTGTCGCATACATTTCATATATTCGAATGAGAGAAAAAAATCGCTCGATTATTAGATTATCGTGCAGGATTATTTAGATTTGTTAAGTCTTCTCGATTCAGCGCTCGAGGGGAAAAAATAGATTACTATCCCCAGCGAGAGTAAAACAGATTGGAGCCATTATTATGGATAGATAAAGCGTGGCTCGTTGAAATTATACGCTCGACGAATACTATATGCTTCTACGAAGACGGCACGGTAAAAAAAATCACGGGCAGTTTTAGAGAAAGTTTAGGTCTTAGTGCTGTATGCATTTATATCGACTTGTAGAAGGGTTGTAGCACACACATACACACCACGTACTCGCACACGTCGCGCGTATGTGTGACACGTTTCCGATCCCGCGTATATCGCGCCGCTTTTCTCTCTTTTTACACAAAAGTGCTGCTTTAGTATTATTTTTTTAACGCGCGGTATTCGCTTGATCGATGAGAATCGGCAGACGAGAGACTAAGGTAAAAAACTTGAGATGTAGAAGATTAGAAGTTTATAGATATGTTGTTTAAATGTAGCATAGCGTTTGACATGGGAATGAAAATCGGGCACCGACCCCTGGACTTGACCTGGACCTGACCTGACCATCGCGATCTGTCCCCCTGAGACTATTTGGAATGTTAATACACAAAAGAGCGACTATTTCGTTGTTTATTTTACTTTCCTTTCTCTCTCTTTTTTTTTCTTTTTTTTTCTTTTTTTCTTTTTACGTCGAGATAATCTTTAGAGATTTTTGAGTAAGATTAGATTTTTCTTCTTTTTTTTGTGCTTTGATTTTTCAAGTATGATTACGCATACAGAGGGAAAAGAAAGCAAAAGCGAAGAAAGAAATATAAACGGAGCGCGAACGGAAACTTTTGTTCACGCTCCGTCCATTCATCTCCGTTTCATTTTCGGGTTTGTAAAACTTCCGATGCAAAGAATATTTCTTTCCCCACACTCCTCCCTCCCCCGCCCTCCTTTTCGCATTTTCCTATCCCCATCCTTCGAGTCCCATTGAGAGATCCTCGAATTTTGTAAATTGTGATATAAATAAATAACAAATGTGTATAGATACGAATATCCGAAATACGCGAGGAAAAAACGATAAATTCAATGAATATTTTATTTCCCCCAACGGGAACATTTTTCCCTCCCTTACTTTTGACGGTCTGTGAATATTATGTATTATATAATAATTACTAATTATATTAAATTTAAATATGATTTACGTTCTAACGCTGCTGTCCTAACCGATAAGTTACGCTCCTCCGTTTCCCTTTTTTCCTAACACAATCGATTTCACATTTTTTTCTTTTTTGCCGAAGTATCCAATTGTAAGATATAAACATTTTTTTCATGAAATCACGTCAGGAAAAAAATCATTTATTTATGCATACATATTTGATATATATATAAAATATACATGTGACAAAATATACATATTTTATGTGTATATAAAATATGTATGTGTATAAATATACATATATAAATAGAGACATTGATCCTTTCTCCCTGTCCTCCCTCGAAATAATTTGCAGCTACCGTTCTTGGAACGTGGAAGCCGAAGACCATTGTATATTGTATAAATGATATAACGCGTTCTTGAGGAACAAAAATATCAGGAAATCGCATTGCACAGCGCATGTGTATCTATAATCCGTTCGCGTCATTTTCCCCCTTTTATCTCCTCGGATATACATATATACACACGACACACGCAACATTTTAATTGTATTATAGATCGACGATTGGAATAAAAGGAGCGTACACTCAGTTATTTTCCATAGGATTGCATGCGCGTTTTATGAGAACGAAAAAAAAAAAATGCGAACGCTATTAACATAAGGACCCTTTTTGGACAGATTTTTATACATAACTTTTTCCCGATCATTTTTTCGCATTTAATGTACATGATATATATTTTGTTGACAATTTAAATATATGTAGAAATCGAAAGAAAAAAAAAACATACAAGACTGGCCAGCAAGTAAACTTAAAAAGAAAAAAAAGAAAACGCTTGTCTAACGCATTTAATTCTGTATAAAAGGAAAAAGGGAAGGAAAAAGAGCGAAAGAGAAAAGAGAGAAGAACGTGTAGCAATTTTCTTTGTAAGATATTGTAAATAACAATTTATTAGTGAAATTGACAAATTCCTAAGTACCTTTTTCTATCTCTCTTTGTTGCCAAGCGAAGATTGCTTCTGAGATGGTCATCGGGAAAAATGATGGTCGAACGAGCTATTATTTCGTCATCGATTGATCGTCAAAAACAATATACAATACTATGCAAATTCCGCTGTGGAATATATTCTTGCTCTTTTTCGACGGTAGCGATCCTTTTGAAAATCGCTGAGGACATGCGCTTGCTCGATGTTAATATTTTCACACACACACACACACACACATACGATTGACACTCTATAAAAGAGGCGAGACGATTGATAAAAACCTCTCTTGAATATAGACAGACATTCCAACCTCATCCTCAGTCGACAGGACACAAAACGTGTATAAACCGTTAAAACGCAGCGAATTATTATAAATAAACGCGAGAGACAGTGTAAAACGTGTTTATAATGTTTAAGGGAAACGACGAGAAGAAAAAAAAATAGTTCCTTCATCCGTGTAATAATCGCGCGCGCGCGTCATCTTGTAAATTAAAGGTCGAGAAGAAAAAAAAACCGCGCCTGTCATCTGTAATAGTAATCCATCAATCACCCGTCGAACCGCGCATAAAGAAAAGCCAAGGTAAATAAAAAAAATTAAGCGAGGCAAACGTTTTAACAGAGAAAAAAATAAATAAATAAATAAAAACGACACACGAAGCGAAAGTCGAACGAAGCAAAATCTCTCATGTCTTATCAGCTAATGTAAGATTTACTCGACTTACCTATCATATACTTTTATTACTATTATTATTCTATACATATATAAATATATATATAAATATATATTATTATGGTATATTGTATTATTATTGCTATTATTATATACTATATATATACTACCGAACATTGTTTTGATTAAGGTGATCCCTTCCACCCTTCTATTTGATTACTCATCATCCCTCACCCCCACCCCACCCCCGGCTATTATTAATCACGCTAAGCATATGTAAATATATGTATATGCATATGTTATATATCCCTCTCCCTCCCTCCCCCGCAAGTATATACATATACATACATGTACACGTGCATATATACATATACATATATACATATATACGCATGTAAACTCGGCACACATTAAACACATTTATAAATAATGGTATAATGCATATTCCCCTCCCCCCCCAAATACATCTCTCTCCATTAATCTTTTCCGATTGTCACGTTTCTCCTATCTCTCTCTCTCTCTCTTCCCCCTCCCCCCTCCCCCCCCGTTAATAAAATCTCTGTCAAGATTTGGTATAAACGTTTTAGAGAACGTAGAAATCGCATTTACCTAGAAGCTCTGTCGTCATTATAATCTACTTAAGCCTCCTCTCCCTCTCTTGTACCAAAAGGAGAAAGAAAAAAAAGAAAAGAACTTCTTATCGATTTTTAATTATATAAATAGTGTAAATTTTTTATATAGTGCGAAAAAAAAAAATGCGATACCGGCTGACGAGACCGCTGCTCTCTCCCGTAAATGCGTTTATTGTATTGTAAAGAGGAAGAGGAAGAAGAGGAGGAAGAAAGAAACGGACCGGTGAAATCACACGCGAGATCTTTGTTCGCTTTATTATTGCATCTTTCGTCGGCTGTATATATATATTTTCCGAGGGCGGATTCTTACAAGTCACGTTGATTCCCGACTGGGCCCAGTTTCAAGAAATTTTCCATTAGTCTCGAGGAAATTTTTTTCCTTTCTTTCGACGAACATGCGTAAATTTAAGGAATCGTTGTTTGAGTACAAAGTCTTGAATATCGTGACTTGTAAGCCGCGCAAACTCGACGTAATCTTTATCGATTGTGAAGGGGAAATGAAGGGAGAAGCGGTTGACACGATTCATCCAATTTTCTCTGTATAAATTTTTGTAACATCTTCGCTACTATATTTTGATAGAATGGCGTGCGAAAATTTCGGCGACGAAATATTTGAAAGCGACGCGCATTTTTCGAGGGCGAAAATATGTATGAGTGAGAAAGAGAACAAGAAACTGTACAATTGAAGTATCATTGTATATAACAAATTCGTTCTTTTGCTATGAGCTCGATTAAAACGGAAGAATATAAAATGGATGAATTTTATGAATATCGTAGAACTTTATTTATCAAGCGCCATTTTTGTTTAAAAGCATGAAAAGTAATTTATAATTCACTATAGAGATGAAGTAATGAAGAAATGAAACTTGGAAATCGATTCCAAAATCGTGTTTCCAAATATTAATATTCTGAAAATAATTTTGGATTTTAAGAATCGACTTAAAAAAATGTGATTTTTTTTTTTTTTAAATAAGACACTGAATTTGTCATATGCAGTGATCGAAAATGCATCGCCGTGATATAACTGTATTATACATATATCCTCCGTTCCCTTGAAACATTTATACTTTAGGCTCAATTGTCCCTTTGCTGCTTCCTTTTCCTTCTTCTCCTCTCCTCTTTCAATCCTTGTTTTACCGCTTTCTTTTTTATTCTTTGAGAATCGATTCGCGAGACGCGAAAGACTCCTCTTTCTCTCTCACTCTCTCTCACTCTCTCTCACCGGGACATTAAAACATTTAAGGCAACAAATTAAGCAGCCCTATAAATATTGATTATACATATATATAAATATATGTATACATATATATATATCTGTATATGTATATCTAAGCCTTATCGGTATGATATATATATGTAATAAGTACTATTTAAATATTGTAACAATTGTATATGATTTTAATACTACACGCTAATTGTATCATATATATATGAAGGATCTGCGACCTCCCACTTTGCAGACATATACAGACAAACGTACAACACACACACACACACTCGCATACACACATACATAAATTTTCACATATATACAGCACCCTAGTACTCACGGTACATACGTAAATATCGAATGCTCGTACACATGCATATACACACATGCGCATACTTACAAAAAGCGATTGTGCAATCTTGAAAGAAATTGAGAAACTGACACGTAACATATTGCGATTATCCATGTTCATCTCATACCCACCGGATTCAACTGCCACGGCGCTGGTATATGAACAGTTGTTTGCTCGAACGAGGGACCTTCGGTTCTTTCTCGAATATCGTTGGTCTTGAAGAGGAAAAAGGATCACTGACACTTGGAAAAGTTCTCTATGTTTTTCGATGATTACGTTTTCGTGTATTATTACTGACCTTATTTATAAATTTCATGTGTGTATTTTTATATAACAATGTAATAAAATTAATATTAAATTATATAATTGTATTAATAATATATATATTGGGTGTTAAAAAAGTCTGGACACGGTCGAATATCTCGATAAGGAAGAGTTTTACTAGAAAGTGTTTGAGACAAAAATTGTATGGCTTCGAGGAGGACATAACATGGTACTATTGGTTTGAAACCCTTGACCTTGAAGAGTTATTTGAAGGTCGCATGAAGGTCAACTTCAATTTCTTAAATGGAACCTACTCTTTCTCATTACATATTCTTGTAGCTAAACTCGAGAGCTTTCCAAAACACTATAATAAAGTATCTTTTCATTGAGAACTTTCCGAGTTATGAGGCTTGAAATAATTTCTTAATTTTACATAAAATATCTTGTAAAATATTCATTTTTCGATCTTATCTTAATACTTTTATGTACAAAATAACGAGAGGAATCAATTGGTGTAAAGAAAATACATAGTTGTTTCGAAGAAAAAATGTAATTGTTAATTGCAAATTACATATTTTTTCTTCGAAACTATATGTTTTCTTTTCACCAATTGATTTCTCTCATTATTTTGTGCATAAAAGTATTATTAAGAAAAGATAATTGAAAAATGAATATTTTACCAGATATTTTACGGTTTATGTAAAATCAAAAAATAATTTCAAGCTTCATAACTCGGAAAGTACTTCATGAAAACTAACTTAATTATAGTTATATATGTTTTGGAAAGCTCTCGAAATGAGCTACAAGAATGTATGAAAGCATATAGGGTGTCCTATTTAAAAAGTTAGAGGTGACCTTCACGGGATCTTCAGGTGAGTCTTCAAGATCAAACTAATAGCACCGATTTATCTCCCTCTTGAAACCATACAACTTTTGTCTGAAACATTTTTCTCTGAAATGTTTTGTTTCCGAGATATAAATTTCTAACGCTTTATTTTGAACACTCAATATATTAAATTGTATAATTATATAATTATATTAATATTATGTGTGAAAAAAGATATTTAATAACGTAAAATTATATTAGAATTCAGCTTTCTCTGATAACTATACGAATTTAAATGAAACCTCTAAAATAGATTGTGTCTACGTTTAAAGGAGACATTTGACGAGATCCTTTATTTATTTATTTTTTTTTTTTATTTTTTTTATTTTGAGACCGACGATATTGTAAAATTGCAAAGAGGGATAAGCAAGCGAACATCAAACGGGAATGGTGCGCCCTGATATTAAGACTGATGTACAGTAGCGCGCTATTCTCATCATTTCATGGTCATGCTCCTCCTTCATCCCGCCTTCGTTTTCTCCGACACACGTGCTTTCTACACACGCGAATAACACATACACAATACGGAATCGCAGGGCTAATTAAATATATATATATATTTCGTATATATATCAAACGTATATATTAAATATATATATAAATATCTCGTATATATTTGTCTGATATATGTCATATATGTATGCGTAACGCTGTTCGTATCCGTCACTGGCTCCTATAACGCGCCCGAGTGCAACATTATCTCGCGAAAAAAAGAGAGGAATTCCTCGACTAAAGAAATATCTCTCAAAAAAGCGTCGAAATTGTAAAATCCTGCGATCAGAGATGTATTGTCAATTGTAATATTGTCATTGTCGATACGCAATGCGTAAATTATTCCGAAAATTATTCTTATTATTTCGCCAGAATATTCGCGTAAAGTGCGCGACAAATATAAATATATGGGCCAGTGGTAAGCTGTCTGAGACACACGCGATAGATTCAGAGGGAAATAAAAAGGAAGAGGAAAACAGTCGCAAGAGATGTATTCCATATTAGCGGATTGAATAAGCGAGACGGACAGGCATACGGATTACAAGAAAGGCAAAATTACATAACTTGTATATTAGTGTATAGAACGTAGAGACGATGAAATAGCCATTGAAGAAAAAAAAAAGGATCATTTTCGACAATGTTTTTTACAAACAGGCAGAACAGTGCAAGTAGATAAAAAAAAGAAAAATGTCATATTGTATTATTTAAGCGAAAAAAAAGGAGCAAGCGAAATAACGAGGGAGCATTTTTTCGAAGGCGATCTTATAAATGCGTTAAATAGTGTGAACAAAGTCTTATATTACGCCACTTCACGAAGGACACGATAAACAACATACACGATTGTCGTAAGAAAAGAAAATAAAAACTCGTAGATTCGTTCGACGTGAAAAATAAAAGTCGACACGCTGGCTAAATATTTGAGTTTTGAGATATTTAAACACTTCAAACAAGCATTTCTTCGATTTTGTTCCTCGCTCTTATCTTTATTCGATTTACATTTCTGAAGTTTATTTTACTCTCTGTCGTTACAACGGTTCGCGGCGACAGCACGATATTATTATAAATAATGATTTATAATTGCAATTGTAGTCTGTTTATACCATCGAATGTGTATAAAATTAAAAAGAAGTAGAAAGAAGCTACTTGGAGTTGACGAGTATATCACCTAAAATCACTCCAAGTATCGTCGCCGATATAATTATTCTGTTAAATCTGCTAACGTTATTGTAAAAATGTAACATTGTTATTGCAAAATATGAGATACAAAAACTCTTGTATGAAAAGCAAATACAATACAACGCAAAGTACAGTTCAGATAAATCTAAAACTAAAGTTAAAAGTGAGATTAAAAGTTTGATTAAATCCAAAAGAAATTAAATCACAATTAATACGAGTAAAATTTTATAATATCGCAGCTTGACTTATTTAGAAAGTATTCAGTCGGAATAAGAAGTAAAAATTTTAATCGATATGCTTTTAATCCATACATTTAAAAAATGCATTTTTAACTGTATTGTTTCTTTCAAAATGTAATTCAATCTTCGGATAATATTGTGTAATAATCGCAAAATTTTGAACAGAGAAAAATTACTCAGCTTTGATCAATTATGAAAAGTAAATACAATACAACACAAAGTTCAGATAAATCTAAAACTAAAGTTAAAAGTGAGATGAAAAGTTTAATTAAATGTAAAAGAAATTAAATCACAATTAACATGAACAAAATTTTATAATATCATAGCGTGACTTTTATTTAGAAAGTATTCAGTCGGAATAAGAAGTAGAAATTTTAATCCATACATTTAAAAAATGCATTTTTAACTGTATTGTTTCCTTCAAAATGTGATTCAATCTCCGGATAATATTGTGTGATAATAATCGCAAAATTTTCAACAGAGAAAAATTACTCAGCTTTGATCAATTTCGAGGGCATTTTTACATTGATTTCATTTCGTTTACACAATTGAAAATTTCATAATTCCTAATCGTAGCCGGTGAATTTATTGTGCTCGTTGCCTCGAACCGTTGGCCTGTTCCTAAAATCTCGTTCATTTTACGTTTTACGATTATTTTTTCGACTTTGTCGTTTTATCTTGCGTATTTGCATTTTGCTTTTATTTCATTTAATTATCTATTATGGGAGATGATTGCACTGTTTTCGCATATAAGCATCTTTTGCCTGCTTTAATTAATTTAATTTCATTCTGTCTCCCTCTTTTCATCCCTCGATTAAATAAAAACAAGCCATGAGACGAGATGTAACTGCATTTTACACACACACATCTACACATATAGACACACATACATTGAGGATTAGAGATCTATCGAGTTATTATCTTAGAATTGTCTCGGTAGCGGTCCACCGCATTGAAATAATGAAGTAAATAAAGTTATAAATAATCGATTAAGGAAGGTTATACATACTTGAGTAGAGTGATAAATAAGATTTGTTCTCGTGCTGCAAACAGCTACGTATTACGACTAAGTAGATGCAGTGATTATTGTATTGATTAATCGTTTACAAATAATTACACACGTGTATTGCTTTCGTCTTGCTTGAGTTTTGTCTTTTTTTTTTTTTATACGCAGCGAAAAATATCTATCTACTTTTAGATATTATTTATTGTCATCTCTATATCTCTCTCTCTCTCTTTCTCTCTCTCTCTCTCTCTCTCTTTCTCTTCGTCACACTCTCTAGATTTAATACAAATTGCACGTAGGGCAATCTACATTGTTACAGGAGGCTGAGATTGTAATCTATGTGCGTTGCACACACGCGCGGGAAGCGTCTCATATTTTTCTTTCTTCATTCTCGAGATATATACATATATATTTTAGGCTCGATATATAATACATATATAAATCCGTGTGAAAGTCTAATTTTCGAATTCTTGCGAATTCCTCCGGAAATCCACCTCCTGGTGATCGATTATACGATGGAGAGAGCCGTGCTGGTAGTTTGTGTTGAGACTAAATAGCATTTCATTCTCATTAAATAGGCATATATTTACACATCGAGATACACGTATCATACACACACACGTATTACACATCGAGAGAGAAAAAAAAAGAAAGGAACACATGATACTCTCTCTCTCTAATACACACATTTAACGAGACAAAAAAAAAGTGGATAATGGATTAACGGTATTCTAAATGTAACATGTATATGATGGCTGTACAAATGTAACATTTTTTTCCATTATGTATGATGATAATAATGATAATGATGAAAAAAGGGAAGATTTGATGCAAAAAGAAAATGTAATTGATGAAAAAAAAAAAATGTGTGCGCACGTGTCGATTGATATGAAAAGCGATGATGATCACGCGATTAATGATCAATCCGCGCGAGTGATTCACCAATAAACTACTATTACTTTTAATTATTATAAAATACCATTTCTGTAATAACATTATGATATAAAACCATACATTGAATGGCAAATTGTCTCTTTTCTATTTCCCTGCGCCTCGACATTTTTTAGTATCTATTATTTTTTTCAAGATTTAAAATAAGCTTCTTATAGTTATTGCAATTATAATACATAATTATAGTGCAATAAATAATTATATTTTATAATTTAATTTTAATTATAATTAAAATTGAACTTTAATTTTACTTATAAATTTAACTTTAATTTTAATTATAAAATATAAATCTAATCATAGAAGGTACAATGTAATTTATATTTAATTATATACTTAAAATTTGTTAAATTTAATTAGAATTTAACTAGATTGTTACAGAAATTATTTCTTCGAAATTATTCATGCAAGTATTTTATCAAGTATACAAATCAAAAAATTATTAACGCTATAAGGAAGGCTTATTTATGATCAAGAAAATTGCAGATATTGTGTATTTTACAAATCTATAATTTTAAGGAACAATTTCTGAACATACAAACATTTCGGATAATTCTGAATATTTAATAGAATATATAAAAGAGATTAAGACTAAATAAATCAAGATATAAAAATAAAACAAACAGGAAATAACACTAGATTTAAAATTTTAATTGCATAATACGCAAAATAATGACGCAAGCTCTGTCTATTTTAAATTTCCTTAACTATGTCAAACATTATATTTCTCACCTCTTTTCTCTAACAGTCTTTTTTTCATAATCTTGTTCTTCGCAAAACAGTTGGCCACCAAATCCAATCCCACATGACGTTTTGCCAAAAAACGCATGTTTAAAGGAAGGAATTCTCTAGCATAAGCGACAATCCAATGGCAACCGATAGTTCAATGATTGTGGCTGTAAAAGAGAAGGCTGATATTTTTTCAAAAATGATATCAAATTGAACTTAAAACGTTGAAAGAGTTCCGTTAAAATTTCTTAAGCTTCCTAAGTAAGAGACTTTTTTTTTTTAAAGAAAAGACAGAAAGAAATTACCTTCGTTGTATGAAGTTGAAAAAAAAATTGAAAAATAAAACAGTAATACAATAATACAAACAGTAATACAAAAAATAAAACATTTTAACAGACTGTGAGGAGAAATAAATAAAGATACAAACAAAACGAAGGAAGAGCTTCAGAAAAGGGAGTTGGAATACTGAAGGGTGCCTCATCATACATTTTTTTTTTTAAATGAGGCTTTGCTGAGAAGCTTTTTGTGTTCGCTAATTTTAATTATTGCGTTTCATTAAAGGTTCTTAATAGCCGCTTCCTAATTTTTTGTTGAAATATTTTATGATTTATATATTTTAAAGAGTTTGCTTTCTCATTTCCATCATCGCTAAACTTTAAATTTTTATTTCACAAGACTGAGATTGTGGAATATAGTAATTGTGAAATCAAAGACGAAAAAATATAACGAAAATAAAGTATTTAATTAAATATGTTGCAAACGCAAACTAATTAGTTTGGTATAATAAGTATTTTAGAGATTTGTATATGATTTTTTTATTAGATACATAGCAAGTGTTGTACGTATTACAACATGTAAACAGTGATAAGAAATGATAATTATTAATGTAGGCTATTATATTTTTTTTTGTCAAACAAATTTCTGTTTGCGTAATATATATTTAAAAATCTATCATAATAACGAAAAAAATTATAAAAATCGATGAGAAATTACAAATTATCGCTGTTAGAAGAAAACATAACGGTAACTGGACTGTTGCGAATTTTTAAATCTGTTTTGAATAAATTTTTTTTTTAAATATAACAAATTTTTAAGTATAAAACACATCTTTAGATATATTCAGTATATTCTTACACGCACATATTTCGTGTAATAATAATAATAATACTAATAATAATAACGATTTATTGTACAATAATAATATACTACAGAAATGCTATATCTCTATTATTTGTATTAAACTTTCTTGCCATACCAAATAGTTAATTACATTTCGTATAAAAACTATGGTAATATCTTATGAATATATAACGTAATATAATAGAGATTGGGCTCTTATCAATGTTTATCATATTTTTTTAATGAACATTATATCGTACATTGTAATTTTGAAATTTGTGAAAAGTATATCCTGAATCTACGGTAAAAAATGTCATCGGAAATGTTATGATGATAATTAGAAGTAGAATTTCAAAACAATTTGAAAATTATGAATAAATAAATGCATGTGACAAAATTCAATGTCCCGAATCATAAATTAATATCTGTCATTTTATTTACTTGCAAGATAAAGAAGATGCCGGTTGCTTCATCTCTCTAATATAAAAATAAGATAAAATCGAAAAAAAATTAAGAGGAACTTTTTCTCTACAAAAGTATTAGTCTATAATTCTTAAAATCGATATCATTTAAAAAATTTTCTAAATTCCTTTTTTTAATTTTTTTCTGCATCCGTTCGTTTCCTCTCGATATTCCTTCCGTCAATTCTTATGTGTCTTATTTCTATACACGATACATAAATTCATATTAGCATATATAGCTTATATACAGTATGTATCTTTTTTGAATACTGTGACAGATCCTCCTTTAAAATTAATATTTGTTTATTTAACAAACTACTTATACACAATTCAGTTTGGTTTTTCTCTTTTGCAGCTTTTAATGACGGCAGTACGACTGCAAATCAGACTAGAAATATCCATCGAAACAGAAACTTCTGTCGCTTCTCTTATTATTTCTTTGTTTAACAAATCTACCCTACGCTTAGCGTAGGGGATTACTAAATTCTTTTTTAAGGCCCTCAGTCACTGTCCTCTGCATTTCGCGGAACGCGAGTTAGCGGTCGCCGACTGTCCTCATCCGATCCATATATAACTTCCTCCTCTGAATCGTTGAACATTGAGAAAGCAGGATTATCCTTCGTTATCGATGAATCTGAAATAAAAATAATTAAAAAATTGTATTTTAGTATAAATTATAGAACACATCTATATATATTTGACGTAATGATATAATTATACAGAAAAAAAGATATTCTTGTTTTGAAAATATATTTAGTTTTAACATGAAAATCTTGAAATGAGATTTTATTGCGTTAATTAAAGAAAAATATAATTGCTTGAATAATTGCTTACTCGAATGAAGCCATTTTATATAGTTCAATCAAGAAAAATATATTCTTATGATTTGAGATTTAATTTTCTCGAATGAAAAAGAAACAATGTTATATAGAAAATAACATTTTTAAATCAAAGATTATAATTTCCTTAAAGTAGAAATAATCAAATAATTATATATTCTTGAGGTGACAATTACAATATTAAAATAAGACTATAATATTATTGAAATTTAAAATTATTAAATTCTTCCAAGAAGATTATAAATTGTTGGATATATACGAAACAATAAACGCGTTAGTCTAAGTATATAAATTTTGATTTGATATTTATTTTTTTACTGTATATAAACATATAAATTCAGCATACAGAATATAATTGCTTGAATAATTGCTTACTTGGATAAAGTCATTTTATATAGTTCAATCGAGAAAAATATATTCTTATGATATAAAATTTAATTTTCTTGAATGGAAAAGAAACAATGTTGAATAGAAAATAACATCTTTAAATCATTTATAATTTCCTTAAAGTAGAATCAAATAATTATATATTCTTGAGGTGACAATTATAATATTAAAGTAAGACTATAATATTGTTAAAATTTAAAATTATTAAATTCTTGTAAGAAGATTATAAATTGTATATACGAAACAATGAACGCGTTAGTTTAAGTATATAAGTTTTGACACTTATTTTTTTCTGTGCAGACACACAAAAACGATAATTAACCAATAAAGTTTGACGTTCATAATGACATTTAAAAATTTTTCTTAATTCCTTTTTTTAAGTCTATATCTTATAATTAAATATAATTATAGATTTATAACTTTTTACAATTTTTTTTCTCTCGGTAGCGCAACTTTGTGCAGTTTTGTCATAATTATGAAACAGGCAAGCAAGTGACAAAGTAAGTCATGTTGAATATGATAATTGTTGAGGATGTCTCCCTGAGATACTCACGTTGTCCGTAGACCTGTTGGAGTGCGGGCGCGTAAACATACGCCATGGTGTACAGATAAAAATTGAGAAGACCATAAAGGGCCATAAATTGCGCAGATGTGCGATAATAAGTAGAGAGACGAGAGGCGAAACTGTCTTCCAATACACCGGCTCCGAATTGCCGAGCCGTGACCAAACTGCAAACCCCCGCGACCACCGCAGCGAGTAGCGTCAGGAATCGTAGACGAAGATCTGCAAAACGCAAATTGCTTTTTAAATATTGCTCGATAGAATTGCAAATATTCTAAGAATGCATGTAATTAATCTTAAGATTTTTTTTGTATTAAAAGGAGGAATCTCTCTTTCTGTTTTGTACATCTTAATATAAAAAAATATGTACGCCGCACAGAAAAAAAGGACATTCTTGTTTTGAAAATATATTTAGTTTTAACATGAAAATCTTGAAATGAGATTGTATTACGTTAATTAAAGAAAAATATAATTGCTTGAATAATTGCTTACTTGAATGAAGCCATTTTATGTAGTTCAATCGAGAAAAATATATTCTTATCACTCAAAAAAATGATCTTGCAACTATAGCAAAAATTTTCTAGGTGCGAAAAATTAACTGAGGCAGATAAACGATTAGCAAATGTTGTAATATCGTATATATGTTGCACGTAATCAATCTAAATGACAGAGACAGAATTTATATCTGAACTGTTTGTGAAATTTAGAAAGAAAGTTTTTCTGTGGCGTCTATCCATATTATGATCAATCATACTTGATATAAAGTTTGGCTGTGGTACACAGAAAATACTAGCAGCAAGAGACAAATGAATATATAATCCTGATACTTAATATAGTTTGTATAACGCACCTAATCTGTCTATCTCTTTTTGACAATTGCGCAACATTATCGCCGCTAGGTGGCGAAAGGTAAAAGCCTAACCCGAAAGTAGAATCCATCTAATTGTAAGACATCATATAAAGCCGCACAGGTCTCGCGAGTCACGGCTTATCAAAGAGCGCATTAGCTCGAAGACTGTTATAGCCGCATCTCTTCCATTTTTTACGAGAGGAGTCCTAGAGCTCCAAAAATTAACCGCAGACGGTTAATTTTTTTATGGTGAATTCTCATATATGTATCATAGAAGACAGAATAAATATCCATGCAGAAATGAATATCAAATGCGGGCAATGGAATAAAAATAAGTTAACTATGATATCTAAAATACATTGACATATTATATCGCTGCTGCAATTATAATGAGCAGCTATATTTTTTACAAAAATTATTCTTGCTGCAGTATTGAAACTCATATTTATCCAATACAGATTAATATCTAACAATAGGATTTAAATTTTCTAGCAGATATTGCTAGAATGTTACTGCTATAAATTCTAGCTGTGACAAACGATATTCTATCAGATACAAAAAATAGCGATAAATTTTGGTTGCGACATTTAGAAATCTATCTACATTAGCAAAACATTTTTTTGAGTGTATGATTTAAGATTTAATTTTCTTGAATGGAGAAGAAACAATGTTAGATAGAAAATAACATTTTTAAATCAAAGATTATAATTTTCTTAAAATAGAATTAAATAATTATATATTCTTGAGGTGACAATTACAATTTTAAAACAAGACTATAATATTGTTGAAATTTAAAATGATTAAATTTATTATTATTAAATTATTAAAATTATTAAATTCTTCTAAGAAGATTATAAATTGTTATAAATTGTTGCGTATATACGAACGAATGAATACGTTAGTTTAAGTATATAAGTTTTGATTTGACACTTATTTTTTTCTGTGCGATATCATTTTTGAAATTAATTTTCATTAAATGCGTTGAATTGTTTCGGAGAAATGTTTAAAATAAAAATATCATTTGCGTCCGCTCAATTTTTACGTATTATTTTTATATATCTGCGAATTTTTTATTTATATGATATATTATTATAAAAAATAAAAAGATGTGCTACACTATATGATATAGTACACTTTTATCGAAATGAGAAAGTCTTAGCGCGGACTAAAAAAAATATACTTACCAAAGTAAGGCATAGATCGTAATTCGCTGTATGCCTTCAATATAAGAAGTAGCAAGTATGCGATGTAGAAGCCACCAACTGTAAAGAAGAATATCTTGAAGCCCTGAAAATAAAAATGTATTAAGAACGGCACAGATGTATAATATATCTTTTGTTATAAAAAGAGCGATAAAAAGATGTGATATTTTTCGTTCATCATCCATCGCGTATCACATTTTTTTGTCGCTCTTCATCGATAGACCAGTTTCGATCTCTTCGACCGCTTTCGATGCGATACCAAATAAAGATCGAAGAGATGGCAATCTTGAAAGAGACCAGCCCCGATGGGAAATTATTTACAACAGTACTGATTCGTAACTCGACATGCGTATACAATAAGAACAGAAACAACAGGTGTTTTGCAATCTCGAGAGGAAGCAACAGCAAAATTATACTTGATCTATCGATACATGAACATGAGACAATTTGGTAAATATTGCTTCAATCCTTAAGAAAATAATAATACAATTATAAGAGGAATATATTTCTATCGTTTTACATATATAATTGTATTTTTTTATATTTTTGACCAACTAACAGCAATAAATTTCGGTCAATATTCTAGTTTTCTTTTCACGCAAGATCGTTTATTCAAACATACACAATATATAGGTGTCCCATTTTAACTTTCACACTCGAATATCTCGAAATCATGGCGGTTTCGATGAAAATGTTTTAAACAAAAGTTGTATGGTTTTAAGGGGGCCATAAGATGGTGTCATTGGTTTTACCTTGAAAAGTCGTTTGAAGGTTACGTGAAAGTCACCTTCAATTTTTTAAATTAATTTTAACCCTCTATTTTTTGTTACTTATTCTTGTAACTTATCTCGAGAGCTTTCCAAAACACTATAATAAAGTATTTCTTCATTGAGTACTTTTCGAGTTATGAGGCTTGAAATAATTTCTTAATTTTACATAAACCATAAAATATCTAGTAAAATATTTATTTTTTATATTTATTTATATTCGTGAGTCTGACATTTTTAATAATTTCATTTATTTTTTGATTATCTTATCTTAATACTTTTATGTACAAAATAATGAGAAGAATCAATTGGTGTAAAAACACAGTTATTTTTAAGAAAAAATATGTAATTGTTAATTGCAAATTACATATTTTTTCTTCGAAACAATTATGTGTTTTCTTTACATCAATTGATTCTTCTCATGTGTGAAAATTAAAATGGGACACCCTGTATAATTTTATATCTCACACTCGCATTTTAAATGAATAAAATATATCAAATTAATTATGCGTGTAAATTCATCGATTTTATATCTTGAAATGAGAGAAATAAATTTATATAAGTTTAATTTAATCAGTGTCAGTGCATAATCAGTCGTTTGTCTAATCAGCAATCGGCATTATTGTCCTGGAAGCTTCGTTGAGGATCAGCGGATTGTACACGATTGTTGAGTGCCCGGCGGAATTGCGGAGAGACATCGCGGAATACAGTGACTCAAAGCAGATAAGCTGCATAATGCAGCTCTTATGTCCACCGAAAGACCTGACAAATTATAAGAATCACGTACAGGGTTATCAGGTACACGAGTATCTCGATGACACCGATCTCTCTGCAACGATGTGCGAGATAAAACTCAAGATCAATGTCGTGAAGAATCTGAGTGTGATCGAGACAGAAGAGGAAAATCCGTGCATCGATCTCGTGCATCACGAGCATCAGGTGTTGCTACCTCATTCGACAAATTGCAGTTTGGTAAGTTTCTTCGCGAAAAAAAACAGATAAATTTAGATGTTTTATCGGTGATGTTCTGAATATTATACAAGTATTATATCATCGAGTACACTGAGGGAAAAATTATCTTGAAATAAAAAAATTTTAGTTAACTCAAGAAAGCTATTTATTCGGTGGGTACTAATCACGTATTTACTTATATTAAAAACGTCTGTTTGCTTAAGTTAAATATTTATTTACATATGTTTAAAAAATATATATGCTTAAAAAATATAATTTTTAATTAAATATTTTTATATTTTAATTTAAAAAATATTTATTAAAATGCATTTTTTATTCCCAAAAATTTTAAATTTTTTAATTTTAAAAAATAACATATTTAATTTAATAAATTATAGTATACATTTTACGAAAATAGTATTTAAATATAAAAAATATATAAATGAAAATAATGTACTTAATATAACATGCATATTTAATTAAAATTAAATGCTTTTGTTTAAATGAAATAAACAATTCCTTCCATTTAGAGCAAAAGTTTCAAGAAAACAAATTTATTTGATTTAATAAAAATTTTTCCCTCGGTGCATCATATCCGAATATTACACAATTATACAAGTGTGCGTATTTTCATTTAAGTTCTACAAATGCGACTGGGGCATGCCGATGCTGTTTGAGTGTCCGGAGGAATTGCATTTCAATCCTGTTCTCCAGGTGTGCGACTGGCCTTGGCAGGCCGGCTGCGACTCGTCCTGGATCGGTTGCCCGCGACCATTTCCACGATGCCCGACTCGATATCCGGGTTTATTGCCGCATCCCTTTCTGTGCGATCGTTTCTATCAGTGCGATTGGGGAACGCCGCGATTACAGGCGTGCCCTGCAGGACTTTACTTTAATTCACGACTCAAGATTTGCGACTGGTCTTACAACTCTGATTGTCAGAACTGTTGAGGTCGAAACAAAACGCGATTCGCAATTTTACGTCGCAAATTGACAACCAAATTTTAAAAACGAAGGGTTCTCTTAAAATATATAAAATATATAAATATATAAATAAAATATATAAATGCAATAATATTAAAATATACAGGATGGCCCCGAACGTTCCAGCCAGACTTTGAGATCTTATAAGAAATTTAATTCTGAACAAAAAATTTCCTATAAACATAGGTCGAAAAATGCTCCCTTAAAAGTTATCGTTCAAAAACCTCTGATGGAGGAAGAGCAAAAGGTAAAAAAGAAAATGAAACTAAATAAATTTCTTGAAAAAAAAAACAATAAAAATAAAAAATAAAAATCTTTTTCTTTTATGAAAATAAAATAATTTTTTTTTAACAAACTTTTATTTTATTTTCATAAAAGAAAAAGATTTTTATTTTTTATTTTTATCGTTTTTTTTCAAGAAATTTATTTAGTTTCATTTTCTTTTTATTTCATTTTCTTTTCACTTTTTGCTCTTCCTTCATCAGAGGTTTTGAGCGATAACTCCTTAAAGAAGCATTTTTCGACCCATGTTTATACGAAATTTTTTGTTCAGAATTAAATTTTCTATAAGATCTCAAAGTCTGGCTGGAACGTTCGCACCCTGTATAAATGCAATAATATTCTATTGTAATAAATCATATTAATTGCGCGGCGATTACACTTACATAATAATTCGATGTATCGAGAACGTAATTATAAGTGGGGTCCTCCAGCTCGGTGCAACGAAGCCACGTGGCGAGAGTCAGTGCTGCACCCCATAACATACCTACTACTAAGAGCTTGGGCAGGTAAAACGTGATGAGACGTCTCTCATTCTAAACAAAGGAAATAAAAATCAGAATTAATTAACAACACTTTGACACATGCAACAAATAAAAATATAAAAGATAATAATAAAATAATAATAATATAATAATCATATTTAGACATATAGCAAGAAAGTATAATAATGTAATCAACATGTTAAAATGCAAATATTAGTAACAATTTTCATTAGTAATACTTTAAGCAGTGAGAGAAATATTGCAAATTAAAATCTTTTATTTGTTTAATAAAAATCGCAAATTTATTAATTAAGGAAATAAAAATCAGGATTAATTAACAACACGTTGACACATGCAACAAATAAAAATATAAAAGATAATAATAAAATAATAATAATAATATAATCATATTTAGATATAGCAAGAAAGTATAATAATGTAATCAACATGTTAAAATGCAAATATTATTAACAATTTCCATTAGTAATACTTTAAGCAGTGAGAGAAATATTGCAAATTAAAATCTTTTATTTGTTTAATAAAAATCGCAAATTTATTAATTAATTTAATAATAATATCGAGGCACGAAACATATATGTATTTAATAAATTAACCAGCTAATCCAATCTTTAATTATTTCGGTTTTGAACACTAAAATTATTGCAGCGTTTAATTAATTATTTCATTTTTGATTTTCGAATAGCGATACCTGTCTGAGGCCGTGATAGACGCAGAGCCAGAACATAAGAATGGCGCAAAGAAAAGTCGTTTGTAGGATCGCGTCCAGCATACCCGGTACCCAGGAGTTCACCAAGAACGTCATGGGAAATAGCGGATCTGTTTAGACGAAATATAAATTCGACAACTTGTTAAAAATTATGAAAATGTGTAATAATAACATAGCATCAATGACAACTTACTATTGTATAGAATCAGTAATGGAAGAAGTATAGAGATCCACTTTTGCTCTATCGACCAATCGTGCAGCGGATACTTTCTAAGCGAATGACCAAACCAGCACTGAAAGCGGATACATTTTTCTTCTTTCAGTTTCTACAACGAATTTTAATTCTTCGCGAAAAAATAAAAACGGGTTGAATTAAAAGAAATCGACGTGAGTTTATTTTGCGAAACGCTACGAGTTCTTTATTATTGAGATCGAAGATGGCTGACATAATCGATGAATTTCTTTCTATGCTTTTTTTTTCTCTAAAGAATTATTTCTTATTCTTTAGAATTCTTTTCTGATTTTTTAACAGTGCTCTTTTCTTCTCTCACGAAGAGATTTTTATTTCATTTATTAATAATTATAAACTAATCCTTCTATCGCGCGGATACATCTAAAAAATTTTTTTCAAGTTTGACGCGAATATTATTTCTATAATATATTATATTCTTTTTTTATAAATCACGCAAAGAATATTTCAAACACCAGATTAATTAAAATGTTATATATATTTAATTTGTTGAAAATTTGCTTTAAAAATTGCATTAAAAATTTTATTTAAAATTTGCTTTAAAAATTTTATTTAATTTGTTGAAAAGTTGATGCGATAAAAATTTAAATAAAAGAATTCTTTTTATTCCATGACATTTAATAATATTGCCAAATGTATTGGAAGTAGAAAGAGGTATTAAATTTTTTTGAAACCAATCTTCGATATCAAAGATTACTCGTTTAGTTTCACAAAAGCAAAAAAACGCAGTCTTCGATTCATTTTAATTATATATTATACGCGTTGTCATCTTCGATCATAGATTACCATCACTCCGAACGTGGTTAATAAGAAGATCAATCGAAACCAGATTTCGATTTGCGTGAACGCCGGATTGTAGTTCTTAAACTGTGAACAGGAAATATGAATACAAGGTTCGGAATTGTCATGTCGAGAAACGGATATAATCATATTTCGGATGCAGTGCTTACTGACGTAGAATGTGAGTTCTCGTATCGTGTATCGCTGATGGAAGCTCTCGAGTCCATGGAAGCGGACAGTAATTATGTAGTAGCTATAATCGAGGAATCCGAGATGAGCGACAACCAACTCCTCGCAGGATTGTCTCTCACACTTTAGGTGTCTGGTTCTGAAAAACGATCATGATCATGATGATAATCTCGGACTTTTGTTATGCATATTAAGCTCTAGATCTATTTACATTATATCAATTTGACTTGTCGCAACGCATATAATAGATATATCTCAGCTTTAACAATTTTTATTTCTCGTCGTTATGAATGTATTATTAAAAAATGTATTATTAAAATAATAACTTTTTTATGAAATTAAACTCGTTACCTCGCAATTTTTTCAATAATCAAAAAAGTATTTGTACCGATTATGTCCAGCTTCCGGAGGTAGCACAGATACGAGTTTGCGATCAGCAGTGATACCGTCTATGGAAACACTAACTTGGAAACCTTTGTCGTATCTTTCGTCTACAAAAGAGAAATTGTCACCGATTATTAAGAATAATTTTTCCAAAGTAACTGAAAATAGATTATATACTAGAATATAAAAAAAATCTATGTAGCTTTTCTTTTCAATAAATCATAATTGCAGAGATGTAAAAACAATGCTGCAATTTTTATTACAAAATTAAGAATTTGATTTTTTATTTTAGTTATAATAAATATACAGGGAAAAAGATTAATCAGCAAGAAATCATGCGTGAAAAAATAAACGAGATAATTATTCTACCACAGTTATCAAATTATGTAAAGGTTTTCCGCTATTAGTTCAAATGAAAATACATGTTACTATTTTTATTCGATGTCGATAGCTTGGCGATTTTTGTTACAAAATTTAGAATTATATATATAATTTATTTTTATTTTAGTTATAACAAATATAGAGGGAAAAAAATTAATCAGCAGGAAATCTAGCGCGAAAAAATAAACGAGATAATTATTCTATCCCAGTTATCGAATTATGTAAACGTTTTCCGCTATTAGTTCAAATGAAAATATATGTTACTATTCTTATTTGATGTCGATAGCTTGGCGATTTTTGTTACAAAATTAAGAATCATATATATAATTTATTTTTATTTTAGTTATAACAAATATAGAGGGAAAAAGATTAATCAGCAGGAAATCTAGCGCGAAAAAATGAACGAGATAATTATTCTACCCCAATTATCGAATTATGTAAAGGTTTTCTGCTATTAGTTCAAATGAAAATATACGTTACCATCATTATTCGATGTCGATAGCTTGGCGATTACCCATAATTGCTGGCTGTACGTAGACAACAGAGGTGTCTTCATGATGAATGGACCAGTGGCCATTTCGCTACCATTTAGATGCGCTTTTTGTTCGCTGGTCGACGTTATAGGCGGTCCTTTAAAAACATTAATATCTTTTAATACATCGTTGTTTTGCGAGATTAATAATAGTAATTCGTCACTGAAGTATCGCATAATTTATGAGATTTCGAGATAATTGGATAATTATTGGAATACACTCACCGGCGAGACCGATAAACACCGCTAATCCAAAACACGCGAAAAAGGCAACAAACACCATAACAAATTCCCTCTTGTGCATCGAATACAATCGCATCTGCACGGATCTACATAGCAAATATATAAGTTTTTAAAATTAATAATGTACAGCTAAAATATGAGAGTTCATGAACAAACTATGAATATATATTTTTGAGTGACGAAAAAAATATTTTGCGACATTTCATATAATATAAATATGAACATCGTGAATTATGTCAATTTGATAGAAAAAAAATCCGTTCGCTTTCTCATATGGTCCTCACATATACATTCATGTATTAATAGAGGGAAGAAAAAAAAACCAAATATTTTAAACAACCTTGCTATTTTTTTCTATTGAGGTTTCTTGAGTTTTTTAAATGCTTTTTAATTTTTCAGGAAATTATTTACCTCTCGCACCGATCATGATGATAAGCAGGCGCGATGTACTTGTTAAATTCGCTAAAGAGATCACTGAACTGTGACAGTGCGTTCCTGACCTTGAGATTCCAACCAGCGGATGGAAGATGATATGAATATCCTAATCCGGGCCCGTCCATCATCTTCAGGATTTCGCGGAATGTCTTTTCATGTAATATTCTGATATAATATTAATATAAATATTCTGATTATGCATACTTTTTTACTTTATAGACAATAATATTAACATAGGATTTTATTTTTATATGATTTATATATTTTTACGTATTATATTAAGATATATTATTAATATATATATATATATATATATATATATATATCTTTTTTTTTAAATTATAATATAATATATTATATATTAACTATATTTATATTATATATTAATAATAATTATAATATATTATATAGTTTTACGTAATATTAATATATATTATTATATATTTTCCTCTTTGAGTAGAATGCATTGAATTTTTGTAGAATTTAGAGGAGAAATTACTAACTTAATATTTTGCAAGAAAATGAAATGTAAAGAGATTGTAAAATTTTTTAAGTTTTGTAAAATTATAAACCTAAAATTGTAAACTTTGTAAAATTATTTTTAAGTTGATGAAGTCTACAGATATATTTCAAAGCTCTATAAATCATATCAAAACATCAGATAACAGAAATTTACAAAAATCACGAATGTGACACTAAAAATATTAAATAGTTTTCTATTTGTAAAAATATATACATGTGTCATAAATATCTTACTATACAAATTGTAGTAATTACATTAAATGAGTAAAATAGATAAAATATATTCTTATATTTCCCAAGTTCTTTTTCAAAGGGATAAAATAAATTTCATATTAATTTATTCGTGTAATTAAAATAAAAAGAAATATTTTAACAAAAAAAAAAAGGATATACAAGTAAAAAAAAATACTTTTGCAAAGATACATATCATTTTTGTCAATAGAAACTTAATTGATAGTCGAAACAATGATTAGAACAATCGCAGTGATACATGTATAGTTTATTATAAATAATATTTAGATTTACGCAGATATACACAATGTGCATGTAAACAAGAAACTCACCCTTACTGCGTGGTACTTTTACCTATATTCCTGATAAATATCTCTCGCTTGCATAATTTAGGGATAATTTCATGAGCGAAATATTGCATTAAACATAGAGACCGAATTCGTTGACATTCGCGTTTTGCGTAATTTTACAAATCAGACAAAAATACGAGAGCGACTACACGAACGCGAGCGGTGTATCTACGAATGAGGAATATCGTGAGACGCGCGCACTATTGATTTTCACATCATATGCTACGAACCGGAGTTGCAAACTCATCGGCGTTCTAGGGGGAAGAGAGGGGTGGAAATAATGGTACGTTAAACAACGAGGCGAATATTTGTATTGTCAGATAAAAGGTTTCAATAATATTTCTATGCGTTATATACGTCTTGCAAAATTAAAACACAATCGAAGTCAATGATATATATTGGTAATATATTCATTTTAGTGATCAGATAAGGGATTCGCATGAAGAGAATGGAAGGATTGAGAAGTAAATCATAAATCTTCCACGGTCAAAATATATGACTTATTATGTATATTTTGATCTAAAATATAAAAAGTGTTCTAATGTAAAATACACTTCTAAAAATTAAAAGATCAAATATTGATTTATATCCGTTAATCCCAATATGTTCTTCCATCCCACCCAGTTAATAAGCTCAGAAAGCTCGTACGGATATGCATTCCACTTTTTGTACAATTTTTTTGTTTCAAGCCTCATATATGACATCTTCCAGCTGCATTATCCGATACCAAGTAACTGTTTTTGAAAAGAAAAATGTAAATATTCTAATAAGACAAATATTTTACTAAATATGTTTTTGTAAAATAAATGCATATATGTAATGCAAAGTGTAAAAAATATGTTTGCCAAATGTTGCAAGATTGGCAACATTATTTCATTATATATATAATGTCTTTTTCTGCAAAAACATTAAATATCATTTTTAAAATGCCGCAAATTTTGATATTTATTATTAACTCATGAATTGAATAAACAATAAAATAATTATATATATATATATATATATATATTATTATTATTATTATTTTATTGTTTATTCAATTCATGAGTTAATAATAAATATTAAAATTTACGACATTTTAAAAACGATGTTTAATGTTTCTGCAGAAAAAGACATTATATTCCATACTAATGAAATATTCTGTTTGTTTCATAACTTATGCATATGGTATTCTTTATATATTCTTTTAAAATATCTTCTAAAAAGAAGATATATGCAAATTGATAATATGTAAATTGATAATTTTTTTTTATATAAATTACCTTATATCTAGAGAGAAATCACATGCATATCCAGTGACACTATGTGACTATCACTTTTTCATTCATATTAAATCTATTTACCGGAAAATGACAATTTTGTTGTCCATACTTTGACAGGTGAGCCATTTTTGATTTTGATAGTGTTATAGTATGGAATACATCGATGGATCCACTATTATATTTCATCTCCACTAGAATATCCCTATATAAAAAAGAGCAATTTATTAATCAATTTTATTTTTTGAAAATAATTCTTTGTAGATAGTCTTTCTTGTTGATGTGTTGATACGTTGGATGTATATAAGAGTCCTTAGGTTATAATTGTATTATATATATATAATATGTACAGACACATCTCTTATTCTTACACACATTCTACAATTATGTATAATAAGAAATATATTTATATTATTTGTAAATACTATATTAATAAATCAAATATATTAACAAATAAAGTAATTGTCACATTTTATTTATTGAAATGAATATCTCTATTCAATAATCTATGCTATAAGATAATAAATGTACTGTACAAGGAAATTACTAAATTTGCAAAATACCTTTTGAATGGTCTTTCTATGTGTGAATTTGCACTTTCGGTAAGAAACAATTGAGTGGCAATTCTGATCTCAAATCTTTATCCCTACAATCCGAGGCATTCTTGTATAAAAATGAGCATCATTGATAATTTACGTCTCTCTCTCTCTCTCTCTCTCTCTTTGACTACAATATAAAATTATTAAATATTGGAAATTTTCCAAAAGTGATAAACTATTAATAATATAATTGTTAATTTTCTTTTACAAAAATATTCAAAATAAAGAATTTTCTTAAAAATTTAAATTAAAATTTTTATCAAAACATTTCATGTTAGATTAAAATTTTTATCTATTAATGTTTCATCTCAATTATTTAATAATGATAGAATAAGTTACAATTTTATATGAGAGAAATTAGCTTAGAAGAAAGATCTAACAAAGATATTACTATGCAATACTGCTTTTTCTACAAGATGATTCTCCTCTATGTTTTCCTCGTTTATTCATTTATGTAGTATTTCTTCCAATACAGCTCCTTTCGTTCAGCTTTATGACTTGTTTTTCACCTATATCCATTCCATAGTCCGGAAAAACTTTCTATATCCGATGGATCGCCATTTATGTGCCTCTTTTGTTTGTCTGATGATTTTTGAGAGTAGTATTATCAAAAACAAGGCGAATCTCTGGCCCAAAAAATTCTTCGTACTTTAAATTAGACATTATTCCAGTAGTAGTAGGATCCGCATGTTTTACACACAATTCCATTTCCTAAGTAAATATATATATATGATTAAAATCATATAAATCTTACATATTTATTTTTTGTTAAAAAAATAATTGGAAATGGATAATATTATCACATATCATATGTCCATAACTTCAAAAATAAAAATCACAATGAATAGATGTAAATATTTAGCATGGATGTAATCTGAAGCAGAACAGATATTAGACGTTGTTATTTTTAATTTATCAAAAGCTAATCATTCTAGATTATTCTTATCGCTGATATTGTAATTACAGAGAACGCTGAGAGTCATAACAGTTCTATCAAATGATCGGTGTAAACTAGCAAATACGTCATGATAAAATGTATGACGTCATATGTTTTATTGTGACGTTCACGTTTTCACGATTGTTCGATTATTTTCGATTGTTCTCGTAGTGTCAGGGTGCGTTCCGTCACAGATTAATAGCAGAGAGAAGACTGAGAGGGGTCACGCTGCCCTTTTTCAGGGAACGCTTTTTCCCCGCCATAAAGTGGCGCTAACTGGATCCATTTTACGGCCGGCGGTACTACGTGGCTGGATCCACTTTTCGCTGCCACGGTAAAACGACCGATTGGTTCATGTCCGTGCTAGATCCATAATTGTGGATCTCAAAAGTACGAAACATATCATACATTTATTAATTTTTATTACATATTATTAACAGCGCGTGATCTGTTTTTACATGCATGTGTTTATGCATGCATATATATATATATATATATATATATATATATATATATATATACATATAGTGTACGCGGGAGTATGTGAACAAGCGAGAAGGTAATAAGAGGGAGCGAAATGGCAATAAGAGTGAGCGAGATAGGAATAGAACAAGCAACGAAGACTCGAAAATTGAGTCTTTCTTGCAGTCTGGCATACTATTTCTCTCTCGCTCGCTTCTGTTATTGTTTCACTCGCTCTTACGTACTCATATACTGTCATATTCATCTCGTTATCAAGCCTGCCGTTGGCAAGCGACCGATGACAAATTGTGAGAAATAAATAAATTAATCATTTTAAGATATATTTATAAGGTATGCGAGTAATTGTAATGGAACAATGAAAATTTTGCGACAATGACGACAAATTTTAAAACAACATCAAACGCGGTATCAATCGGATAAATGTAGTTAAATGTATATAATCAAAATTTTTATTATCAGACCAATTAAAAATTATTCGATTTATGTCGTGTTTGATATCATTTTAATCGCAAGAATCTCAATAATTCATTAAAATTACTTTCAAATAGATAAAATAAAAAATAGGCGTTTCAGTTTTTATTTTATAAGATGTTTACATTCGCGAGGAAGCCGAGTCCGCTTATCTTTACGACCTATCAAGTGCGAGAGCGACAGCGAGTCGAGAGCGAGCGAGATGACCTATCATTAAAGAATTCCGAAGTCTCTTACAATCGGCTTCTTCACTTTCTCTATCATTCGCAATTTACGAGATAATAAACTGAAAACTAAAACTCCTATTTTTTATTTTATTGATACGAAAGTAATTTTAATGAATCACTGACATTTTTGCGATTAAAATGATATCAAATACGGTATCAATCGGATAAATGTAGTTAAATATATATAATCAAAATTTTTATTATCAGACCAATTAAAAATTAAAAATTATCCGATTTACGTCGTGTTTGATATCATTTTAATCGTAAAAATCTCAATAATTCATTAAAATTACTTTCGTATCGATAAAATAAAAAATAGGAGTTTCAGTTTTCAGTTTATTATCTCGTAAATTGCGAATGGATAGAGAAAGTGAAGAAGCCGATTGTAAGAGACTTCGGAATTCTTTGATGATAAGTCATCTCGCTCGCTCTCGACTCGCTGTCGCTCTCGCACTTGATAGGTCGTAAAGATAAGCGGACTCGGCTTCCTCGCGAATGTAAACATCTTATAAAATAAAAACTGAAACGCCTATTTTTTATTTTATCTATTTGAAAGTAATTTTAATGAATTATTGAGATTCTTGCGATTAAAATGATATCAAACACGACATAAATCGAATAATTTTTAATTGGTCTGATAATAAAAATTTTGATTATATACATTTAACTACATTTATCCGATTGATACCGCGTTTGATGTTGTTTTAAAATTTGTCGTCATTGTCGCAAAATTTTCATTGTTCCATTACAATTACTCGCATACCCTTATAAATATATCTTAAAATGATTAATTTATTTATTTCTCACAATTTGTCATCGGTCGCTTGCCAACGGCAGGCTTGATAACGAGATGAATATGACAGTATATGAGTACGTAAGAGCGAGTGAAACAATAACAGAAGCGAGCGAGAGAGAAATAGTATGCCAGACTGCAAGAAAAACTCAATTTTCGAGTCTTCGTTGCTTGTTCTATTCCTATCTCGCTCACTCTTATTGCCATTTCGCTCCCTCTTATTACCTTCTCGCTTGTTCACATACTCCCGCGTACATTATATGTATATATATATATATATATATATATATATATATATGCATGCATAAACACATGCATGTAAAAACAGATCACGCGCTGTTAATAATATGTAATAAAAATTAATAAA